CATTCCTGCCAACCTAGAAGACCAAGCTGTTTTAGTTATTGGTTATTGGAAGGATAATAGATGTGCTGCTGAGCAAAAGCAGCAAACAGCTAATTAAAAAATGTCTTAAATACAGAGTGTGTATTAGCTAAGCCAGAAGATCAGGCTACTGTTAGCTTTGTATCTGTTTTATAGGACAGGCTGTTGAGGTATATGAAGTTTTTTATTAACAAGGAAGTGAATTGATGTAGGGCCTAATTCCACTAGGACTCTCCCTTGACTTCAGTGGCCTTTGGTTAGCTAGCAACATATAGGATAGCCTGCAAAATTTTGAAGCATGGAACAGTGCAGGGGGAGGATTAAGTTGATCAACTGGTTGCCATGAATTCTGGGTAAATCTCAATGGCGTGATCCTCAGAAGTGCTGAGCAGCTGCCGCTCACTTTGTGAAACCATCCTGTGAGATTCCTTTGAGAGAGGAGTTTTGTGAGACAAGGAGGAAATTGTAAAGTAACTGAAAAATTATCTTAAGTAGCAACTTTGACACAGCTGGTCACAGTATATGTATATAAACAGCTACCTGGAATAAAGAGACTTTCAAACAATTAGCTAAAGAAAAATACTAGGACTACTGGAGGAGACTGGGCAGATTATATCATCGTATAAATTATTAAACTGATGGGCTGGAAAAGATGGAGTAGACTTTCTTTTTGTGTCCTGGAGATGGGGGCGCTGAAAGTTTATACCTATCATCTGAAAGTTACACCCATTGTATTCACTGCTTAGCTAATTGAATTACTATATTCAGTAGCTAGATGATGAATTATATATATGCAGCTGCCTTTAACTTTTGCTATTTATTTATTTCTCTCAATTAATGAACACTTCTGAGCAATAATGGAAGTGGTAGTGATCATAGGAGAGCGAACGAGAGACCAGCACAATCATGGCTTCTTGAAAGATGCCTTAGAAACTAAAGCAACTGCCTTTTTTCCTAGACTGACAGAGAAATAGATCTATAGATAGCATATCTGTTTGTGTGCTTAGTGTATGCTCGGGAGAAGCATGGTCAAAGAAGTTATTGGTGGAAATCAAAGTCAAAGAAATGGTTTTACATTTAGTTCTGAAAGTAGTGAGGCAGGCCCATAGTCATTTTTGTCTCCTACCCACAGAGATTGTCCTGGTCCCATCATGGCTTTGTCTACTGCACTGTGACAAGCCTTTCCCAATCGATCAGCAGTATCATGATCCCAGTGGAACATAGCTGCAATGGAAAGTCTTGGTCACACAGGGGAAGCTATTCTGAGGTCAGTCTTATGGAGCGCTTTGCTCATCAGGACAGAAACCTTGAACTCCATAGCTTGGCAGTGGGATTTGTAGTTATCCCTGGGTTGCAGAGCAGAGTTGAGGGTGTTTGGTTTTTCCCATGCTTTTGGGCTTTGCTGGTTGCCACATGGGGCCAGAAGGGAATGTTTTCCTCCCCTGCTACCACAGGTGTCAGTTCTGGTTTTGTTCTGTGTTTTTGATTTTCTTCCCACTTTCCTCAGAAGCATTGGGTATTGGCTGCACCCAAGTCTAGAGCTTTTGACTGGGGTGTGCCAGTGCTCCTTATGTGATTAAAACCTGGATGTTACTGGTTAGAAGGTCTTGCCACTTCACTCAGGGTCAAACTGATCACCACAGTTGGGCTGAGAAGTGACATGGGCTTCAGCAGCAAAAAAATGGGGTGGAAGTTTTCCCCAATAGCAGCAAACTCCACTGTCATTCTAGAGATCTGCACTTCTCAGAATGCCTCGCACAACATGTGACGCACACTGCCAAGCTGCTGCTCCTGTGTGCTACCTTTTCCTAAAGCTAGAAGGTAAGATGGGAGGAGAGCTGAGAGAGAACTGTCCCAGGCACAGTCTTCCCACATTATGCCTCTGAATGGGATGGTTTGGATAGGGGGTGATCCTACCTTGGCAGTTTGGACTACATGACCTCCTGAGATCTCTTCCAGCCCTACTTTTCTATGAACTGGACAGTATTTGAGGGTGGGGGGAGGAGGAAATCAGAGAAAAGAGCACAATGAGTATATGTTTAGGCTGTTGTGTTTGTGCCGGTGATTAGAAAAGTGGCCATGTTTTATCTTAGCTGGAGATTTGCAGGGTATGATCTTTCATTCCTAAAGATAAACTAAGAATGTATTACAAGGAGGGAAGCACTCAGCCTGCTTGGTCCTGGAATGAATGACAATACTGAAAGATAAAACATGTTGGCAAATTTGAGGGCAGAGCACTATGACTGGAAGGTCCTTGCTTCTTTCCTGTGCCTTGCCTGGACTGACAAAGTCCTAACTTAGCTTGTTGACCTTCTGAGCACAAAGTAGGATTCACCTGTTTTCTTGTCCCTTTAATAGGCCACTTAGTTTTCTCTCGAGTGAGAGCTTTAATCAGTGAAGTCAGATTTGTAAAGGCATTTAGGCACCTGCAGATGCAGACCAACATTTGGTGGGATTTTCATAGTTGCCTCAGAACTTCTCTTTATTAAATGTCTTTGAAATTCTGGCCCTGAGTGTCTAGACATTGAGGCTTCCTGCTCTAGAAATACACGAATAGATTTCTATTCGTGTATAGAAATTCGTGGGCAGGGGCAGCATTTTTTTTTAGTTGACTTCAGGCACGTCTACACAAGGCACTACGGTGCCATAGCAACACACTACAGTGCCATAGCATCCATTGGCAAAAACCATGACGCCACCACTACACCAGTGTAGCAATGCGTTCCCTCATTACAGTGCGTTGCTACAGCGACATAGCGGTCAAAAATAACCATGTGCGGCCAGCACGGCACAGTACAGGGTGTTACTGTGCCATCTTTTAGTACTTCCAAAACGAAGTACTAAATGATGACGCAGTAAAAGGAACCGTATGGCCCTTTTTGTCATTGTCACAATTTTCTAGTTTTGATCTCCAGACCACCAGATGGGCATAATTTAAAAGGTCACATGATAAAAATTGTGCCTGTTCCATTTACAGTCCATTACTAGTCTGAATTAGTATTTTTGACTAAATGTTTTAGTGAGCTGTTTAGAATAAAAAGCATTAAACAGAATAAGCAAGTACACAGGGAATGGGGAAAAAAATCTCTTTGCAACTATGCTAGAAAAGCTTGCCTGTACCTGTCTGTCTATACATTGGTAAAGAACCCAAGCAATGTAAGCAGCAGGTTATATAGTTTTAAACATCAAGAAATCATTAGCTACAGAATTTCGTATCTATGTTTTCACTTCATTGAGTTCCTAAAGTTGATATGTCTTGGGTTTTGCACCTGACTTTAGTGCAACCTGTAACTTCATTCTGGCTTCCTAAGATCTGTATGGCATTAAGCAAAATGTTTCCCCTTTGCCTATTTTCTATTTGTCTTTACTTCTCCTAGTCCTTAGCTTCTAAGCAACTAATTACATTTCCATCCTTTTCTGTTTTAATGAATGGAGAGCTCTTCCCCATTTACCTTGCTAAATGCTCAGTGAAGCAGACCCCATGGGATGCAACTTGAGGACAGAAGCTCACACCTGCTCAACACAGGTGACTGAAAAAAAGCGGTCTAAATGAAGTGAAAGCTGATGCTACAGCACTGGCAATTTCCCTCTGAGCACCTGGAAAATTTGTGCACTAGGGTGGAGCATTCAATATAAATGCGCAAACAAGTTAGGAATCATTACCTGTTGACATTACTTTCTTTGACCCCATTTGGATGAGCAGGTAGGAGAGTTTGTACTGGTCTAATATGCTTTTTTTATGGCTGTTTCCAGATTGCCGTGTAAGTGTTTTCCTGTTTATCATGTGTAGTTTTGCAAACAGTTCAGGATAGATGCTCAAGAGAGCATTTTGTTTAACTGATTAGATCTGTTTTACAGGGCTGTTCTATGTTGGCAGCAACGTAGTGTTTTGTTTCAGTGTCATAGTCCAACACTGTTAATAGCCATTTGATTCTATAAATCAATAGGATACTTGCCCTTTTCAGTATTTACGGTAGTTTCTGTTTTCCAACTGCTCCAGGCAATTCTCAGTTTCCTTTCACTAGGATTAAATGTTCTGTTTGATGAAAGCACAATATCAATGATTTTTTTCTCTGACCCATAGCTGTTCCACTCCCCAAGATGCCTACACAGCTGGAGAATGCTATGGACACCCTGATCCGGGTTTTTCACCATTACTCAGGCAAAGAAGGGGACAAATACAAACTCAATAAAGGAGAACTCAAACAGCTCCTCACCAGTGAGCTCACTGAATTTCTCTCAGTAAGACAGTTTCAGTCATCTTTCAGTTTAATCATGTTTAGTTAATGTTAATGGGTGGGAGAAATAGCTACTGAATCTAGTGAAGGATAATAGAATGCTTTTTCTTTGCATAGTCCAGTCTGAGCTATGACAGCTTCTACACCGCATACTCAAATTTCAGTTGTTTGGGGGTTTTTTGGAGTCAAAGAGGAGTTAGTATCAAGCATGCTGTTTGAGAAGTGTGTAGTTTGGTTTCCAATGATTTGTTGCATGTGATGAAACCAAACAATTTAGTGCCCGTTCTGCTTAGCTTTGTTTTCCTTCAGGGAGGCCAAATTCAATTTAACGTTGATAGAAAAAAATGATATGGTTAAAGCAGGTTCAAATCAATTTATTTGAGACTGAGTGTATACTAGACTTCAATGGAACCCAGTCCAATATAGAGAGAGTCCTTTGGGTGAGTGCTTTAAGTATAGTACATCCAAGTGCTTATGTAATCCAGACACAAACCAAGTGTTTCTGATCAGAATCAGAATATTCCCTGTCTTTTAGAACAGTGGCTCTCAGCCTCTTTAAATTCAAGGCACCACTTGAACAGCTCAAGGCACCCCTTTGGAAAATGTCAGCTCATAGCTTTGACAGACAAGGTTCCTTGGGTGAATCTGATATCTTTTATTAGACCAACCCAAATAGTTGGAAAATAGCTTTTGCTCATTTACTGACTACAGAAAAATACTAAAGCAATTTTTCTTTTGCAAACAACTCAAAAAGACCACAAGTCAGAATGCTTTTAACACTATGAAATTTCCCATTTGAAATCTCTGGGTTTATTTTGTGAATCATATTGGCATACCTAATAGTGTCCACATTGCATGGCCTCCTATGGCACTCCTGAAGGATCTCAAGCTATCTCAGGGTGCCATGGCACCCTGGTTGAGAACCGCTGCTTTAGAGGCTTCTTTAGTCCCACAGGTATATAGTTCACATTTGTTCGTAGGTTTATTGGAAATCCATTCATTCTAAATATGATTTCCTATCTGTGCTTTTCATTGTAAGAGTTCTCAGTAATTGATAATTAATGGTATTTATTTGCTCACATTTACAATGTTCATCAATTATATAATACTGAAATGGTATGGAATAATGATTTCCTACATAAATGAATTCCCATGTTTTTTTAATGCCAAGAAATTTTTGTGGCCTGTAATAGGGGCAGCAGGATTTTTTTAATCAATGTATCAATTTTTTAATTGGATTTTCTTTTTTTTCAATTCTGTCTATTGTTTTATGAGAAGATGCTCCTACTCTTGTCCCTATTGAGTAGGACACAGACTTTCCCAGTAAAGTTTTAAAAAAATGATAAATGAAGATCATAATATGACAATATTTAAAGCTCTTTAAATGATGTGTATAATTTTTTTAATGATATACTTTATACAGTAAAACAGATAGTATGGGCTCTACTTTCGAAAGTGATCAGAAGTCAGTAGGTCATAAATCTAGTTGCTTCATTTAGGTGCCTATACTGGAACTCAGTTCCTTTGAAGATCTGACTCCAGGATTGGTTGCTAAGTAATACTGAACGTCTACATCTATGCTTTTAACACTGTTAGTAGTGACATACTCATCCTGGGATGAACATTTCATACAGTTTGTATTTTTTAACAAATCCATTCCAAAATTTCTATTTTTTAAGAACTGGTTGAAAGAATTGATAATAACTGAACTTTTAGCATATTACTAAATTGTATAATCAGGTACATTAGAATTATACATTCAAGATTTGTACAGTTAAGTCAGTTTTCTTGTTAAAATGAGTACAGATTTGAGAAACACTTACATAGTTAATGAAGTGTGGAAGGCAAAACAGATTTCCTTGCAGCTCTGTGGGGCTACAGTACCTACCCTTGAGAGAACCCTTTAACATAACCTGCCTCAATGTTGTTTGCATTAAGTTTTAAAGGAAAGGACCAGCAGCTGTAGGTTAATAAATGAAGGTTCTGTGTTTTCTTTCTAGTGCCAGAAGGATCCCCAGTTGGTTGATAAGATTATGAGAGATCTGGACACCAATAAAGACAATGAAGTGGATTTTAATGAGTTTGTGGTTCTGGTTGCTGCTTTGACTGTAGCATGCAATGATTTCTTTGAAGAACAACTAAAGAACACAGGAATTTAGAAATGATAAGTATATCAGTCCCTCAGACACCGATGTAACTGAAGCATGCTTAGCTGGCTAGCACTCATCTGCATTTTGAGAATACAACTATATCTTATGTTACCTTGTTAATGTAACTAAATACAAAAGATCAGATCACCAGCTAGAGTAAATTCCAGAGGACCAACATCAGTGTACGCAACCTAAGGGTATGGCCCTAAGTATGTTCAAAGATTTAGTTCCTGATATTTTTTCGGCTCTCTAAGATTTAGTTCCAGATATTTTTTCGGCTCACTAAGACAAAGACTCCAGATCAACAGTTTCTTAAGGGTCACTCACCCTTTCTACATGTTTGCTGCTTTACCATTGAGGAGATTACCATCTCCATCAGCATGCACCCCAGTTTACTGACCAAATCTTTCCTGTTGAAAAATGGGGCTTTGTTGAAATGTAATGTATTCTGGAGGGGGAAGGAGATTATCCCATATTTGAAAGGGACCATTTGGAATGAAACATAATTAACTTTTTGCATTTAGTTTGAATTTTCTTGTTTAAAAACTCTATTTTTTGTAGACAAAAGACTGATCGTTTTGGCCCATTTCCATTTATTCTGGACCACCTTTTTAATTTCTCAATCCTTCCCTTCACATGTACTGACAGGCTGCAGTTTCACCTACCTTGCGTCCATTTAAGCAAGATGCTTTGCTGCTATTCAGCTTGTAATTATTGTTACTTCATATTCTCCAGTGTCACTTCTGTTGTGTTTATTCTGCTCCATTGCACCAACCAGTCCCTTTCCTTGGCATAAATATTAACAAACTAAACAAATAGATAACTCAGCATGGTAATTGTTGGGGTTGTGGAAGAAGTGGGTCTTCAGAGCAGCTGTAAATGAGACCATTTTCACTGTGGTGTGCCTCTGCAGGGAGGAGTGTAGGCTGCTGTAGAAGCTATGCTGGGATGACCTTAGGGTGAAGTTATACATTACACATAGACCATGCTCAATCTGTTGAATATTAAGCAATGTTATATTTAGAACATTAAGGGTTAATACCATTTCTTGGCTGCACTGCTCTGACTTGCCACTAGAGGGCTGGCATGCAGGGGCATGGCTAGGAACCAGGACATTTGGTCTCTCTCCCTGCTCTGGATAGGGTGGGGCTAGAAGCAGCACATTCTGCAATTCTGGAGGACTTCAGATTGCCATTTGATCACTGTGGAGCAGACTAAAGTTTCCCTAACATGAGCTAGGTAGCACAGCTCAGAGTTAACCCTCGCCTGAAGTGGCATAACTTTGAGATGCTCCAAGGGCATGTAGCATAACTTAACAAGCTTTTATATACATATACTCTCGTTTTAAGTACCTGTAGTATGGTCTAAGTTTGAAGGTAACTTTGCCCTACAGATGGTGGAGATGCTTTGCTTTTTTCTCATAGATGCTTTATATTTTGTGTCTTATTTTCCTTGCCTTGTTGTTTTCCTTGGTCTACAATAAAAGGCATCAATACTGAGAGTGTGTGACTTATTTTTTGTGTAAGACGAGAAAATAATGACTTTGGATATAGTCTACTAAGATATGACTTAAGAATGGCTTAGATGAATAACCTTTACCACCTCAGCCCCAAGCACCTTTTGCTAATGAATAGAATATTTCCAATACACATTTTATCACTGTAATTATGTATTGCCCCTCTAAGAAAGAATTGCAATCTATAATTTTAGGAGACACTTGTTTCTTTCATAGACCCAATAGACGTGTCAAGGGGCAGTTGTTATCGCCAGGCCGTTATCATCAGACAATGTAAAACACAGGCATTGCAGTGGTAGAGAGGTGGTCAACCCCTGGCCTGCAGGCCAGATTTGCAGTTCTTGTGTGATCTGACCGACAGAGCTCCTCAATGGTCTAGAAATGTGGTGGCAGGGGAGTGGTGGTAATTAATGCTGCCACCATTCACCCACTGCCAAATTTCCAAGCCCCATGGGCTAGATAACATGGCCCAGTGAGCAGGTTGGGATGGCAGGGGCGAGTGGTCCTGATCCAGCATGCATGGGGCCAGGGCTGGGGCCCAATCCAGCACATATTTTCCCAGCTGCACCCAATCAAGCCCATAGACCAATTCTAGCCCATAAACCAGCACTGCAAGACTCATTTGGCTCACTAGGCCACAAGGTTGGGCACTGCTGCAGTGGTAGAAGAGGCAGAATGCATTGGACTTTGCAGTATATTTGACTATCTTATGGTCAACCTTTAGATAGGATTTACAGCGTGAGAGTAGCCAAGAAAGTTACCATTTTTTTTAGCTTTTTGTCTCAGGTGACATTATACATCTTGATTTAAATGGTAATTTTACTTCCAGTGAGACCACAGTGGCAGGAAGGAAACACTAATTTGTAAATCAAGGCTTTCTTTGTCACAATCACCTCTAGGTTTTCCAGAACACTTAGCAGTGCCCTAGTCCTTACCCATCCTCCAGGTCAGGAGAACATAGATCAGTGCAAATCTCTAGACTAGGCTGCTCTGACCTTTATTATTTCCTAGGTTCAGCATTATTAGCCAAAAGCTTGGTGTAGGATTGCCCAACCAGGACCAGTTTATCTATTATTAGTTTTGACTAAGAGGCCTTTGGAAATAATCTACAAAACTGGGAAAGCTGCTACTCTCTAATTAGACACTTGGTAAAGCAGCCTGCTTCCTGATGAAAACTGCAAAATCACAGCTAGCCGGGGTGTGAATCTACTGTTAACAGGGGAATGGCTATTCCATGCAGCAGCCATTCAATCTGAATTTATAAGGGGATCAGTGTTACCTAATCTTCCTCTGAATAGGGCTTTATTGCAGATGAACTGTGTGAATTAACAGGGAATGACTCAAATGAAATGAAACAGAAGTTGTATAGGACCCCACAATTACAAAGACAACTGTCAAATTCTGTCAGCCTTTAAAAAAACCCCAAAAAACCCAAAAAAAACCAACCACAAAACCACCACACAATAAGAGACCAAACAATAAGAGAAAATAGCCCAAACAGCATAGCACAACTGAGTGAGTGCATTTAATTACTGTTGCCTCCTGAGCCTGGACCAGCTGTGCACAGTTTGTTCTCTGGTGTAAACTGAAACCACCTCTAAATATTGCCAAAAGGGCTGTTTCTGCCTGGTTTTAAACAGTGTTTTGATAACCACTACACTACAAAAACTAAAATGACCTTCTGGGCAAGCTATGGGTGGCCAGAAAGTGGGGAGGATCATTTACCTTCCTCCTTCTGAGCTGTGAGGAAGGAGAGTTAAACTGTGACCACGGTAGAACCAGGATCATTTGTAGCTAGGTGGTTCACAACAGGCTTAATTTTCATTGGATTGTTGAGTCGGAAATACTGTAAGTCTGTTGCAGTTTGTTGCAGCATGTACTTAAAAGGTGCCACCTTCTCCCCTCAATCAGTGTACTTCAGTGGTCCCACCAAGTTGTTTTTTTCCCCTGGAGCTCAGTTTGCCCTCAGATACTTTACAAACTGTCATCTTTGCAGGGAAGTTAGGAACTTAATCCTGTGAAGCATCTAGGTTTCATTGTATTGGCTATACAGCATGGATGATTCTCTTACACCAGAACTATTCTTGTTTGGCCAGCAGCATCAGCTACCTGGGCCACCCTGAGCTGAGGATACATTGCAGTGACCTGTACACAGGTGAGATTTCAAGCAATATCTGCACACACAGATTTCTTTAAATCTTTAAACATGACAGCACAATCCTGTCTGTTAACAAGATATATCCAAGTGAGGGACAAAGACAGACTGAAGATTTATCTATTTACTTTAATTAAATTTCTCCTACCTTCACAAATTTAGAAACCATTTTTTACTTTATAACTGAAGAGTATGTCTGCTTACCTGTTTTTTTTCCATCAAAAAACTCTCAGCTCTTGAGAGGACATATAATTAGCGTTTAAATGAGAGAGATGCTTTTATCAGAATGCATCTGAAATCAATAGAAAGGTAAATACTACTTACAGTCTAATAATGTATAGTTACAATTGAAGTAAAAAAAATACAGTGATGTGAAAAAAGTTCCTTGTTTCTTTGTGCATTTCAACAAATATGTGGTAGATGCTTAGAAGACATTACATTAACTTGAGAGACCTAGACATTGACATTTACCTTTATTTCAGTTTAAATGAAACTTTTAAGTAGCAGTCATAGAAATGACAGAATTGATGCAGCTGGATACATCACAAATCTAGGGAAATAGGCTTTTAATGTTTTCAAGTACTAGAGATCTTGATAAACTGCTTGATGACGTCAGCCTAGTGACAACTCCCTTCAAACAAAGTAGTCCTTTTGTACATTGATTTACTAAGTAAATCCACAAGAAAGAAACACCTTACTCATTCTGTTGCAGGTGTCAAAGGCTCAAGAGATATTAGTGTTCAAAGTGAATTGTAATAACCATCATTCTACAAAAGCACCTTTTGATCATAAATAAGAGCAACCTGGTGTTGACTGAAAGAAGCACAAAGACTGGAGTTGTAGGAGGACATAGTAATGATCTATTAAAGGAAATACTGGCAGATCTTTTTTTTCCTTGGACAATTGGATACAAGTTTTAGTAATTGCATTCCATCAAATGTCATTAAAGAAATAATTGGAAATTATTGCCTGGGAACATTATATGATTACAGTCATGCATCTGGTTCGACACTCAATTGAAAGGGGCACCTTATATACAACATTACAAAATAGTGTGCTGTGAAATGAATTAATTATGCAAACTAGGGCACATGCCATAGTGAGTTAATATAGCTTACACAGTATGCTTATGATTCATTTTGCTAATTTACTTCAAAGCCTCTTGCAAGAAGGTTTCTCTCTCTTTTTTCATAATAAAGAAATCTGAGACAACCTGTAACATTTAAACGTTTCATGGGCTATATTGTGGCAATAGGGAGCTATGCCGTATCTCATTTAGGGCATTATGTTGATGCCTTTGCTTATGCTGATCAGTACCTTACTCACTTTACTGATAGTACAATTTATTTCAATGAGAGCATTTATAGAGTGCCATGCAAGGCAAGCATATCTGCATCTGGGCCTTGATTACTTGTATTTTTGTATAGAATGCTGATGTTTCACACTTCATCATGTCCCATCACCCTCCATCATTGTAGGATGTAGGATTATATTTTGCCCTACATACTACAGAATTACAGTATGGCCTACATCCAGTCCTGTTTCCAGAATGATTTTTAGAAATGCAGATTGACTAGGCAACCTCAGCATTTCTCTTTCCTTTAGAAACCAGAGGTGTGTGTTGATGGTGGAAGGATGGGGGAGGTTGGGGAGAGGAGAAGGAGGTTGCCTGTCCATAATAAGGGACATATGTCCGCTGAACACCACAGTAGTTCCTATCTTGCATACAGATCAGGGAGCAGCCTGGAAAAGAAGCAGTTATCTCACAGTATAGTGCTCCTGTATGTAAACCCCAATAGTCAAGCTGAGATGGGTGCAGGTGCTGTGTTCTGCACCTAGCTGGAGACACTCAGCTACGCTCAGATTTAAGCACGAAGAAGCTAGTTGAGAGGTCAGTCATAAATCTGCCCTGGAAATCAGATACCCATGCATCTTAAGGTTTTTGACTGACAGGAAGGTTTGTTACACCACGATGTGACATTATCTGCATGTCTAACAAGGTTTCTGAATGACAGTTTAACAATTAATAAATTCTTCCTAAGAGATAATTAAGTCTGTTGAATAGCACTGCAGTATTTGGAGAAAAAAACAGTAGCACTGTCAATTATATCTTTCTCCTGCTATATGATACCAGATGAGAGATAATATCTTTTGTTTAGCATCTGCTAATTTATTTTCTAAACTAGCTCAATCCAGGGCCTCTCCTCAGAGTTACAGCATCTCAGGCTACACAGCCCGGATAGCAGCCTGGGTAATGTATAAAATGAACTGGACCAAATATCCAGTCATTCAAGCTCAAGTTGCTTAAAATACAACTATCTATCCTCTCTGATATTTAGCCTCCAAAACTCCACCCAAGTTAATAAAAATAAAAAGTTTATGAAGCAGGAGAAATATTATGTAGAAATGGACAATAAGGATATGCTGTTTTAGGAGGGTGGGGTACAGTGATTAAGAACAGGTCAGGGAGTGCAGATGAAAAATCCCACACACTCCCCTCAAGGGTGCCAAACAGAGCCATATGTCAAGGAGCACGGATAACAGGGAAGCATCCAAGATGGGACTTTTCCTGGGGAGAGGTGTGAGGACTCTGAATAGCAGCACTCCTCAGAGCCTCCTAAACCAGGGTTCACTTTGGGGACAGCGACGGGTAACTATTTCACAGTAAGGCACAAATACAGTAGCTCAGTGGTTCTCAGCTGGAATGCCACAGCATGCTAGGGTGTAGGTGAGATCTTCTTAAAAGTACTGTGGATGCTACACAATATTATCACTGTTACATGTGCAAACACCTGTACCTAATTCATAAAATAAACTCAACAGAAGCC